AAGTTTTGTATTACTTAAATGGGGTTTATATCAAAACGTCGTCTGTATCTCCTAACGAAGGAATCGAACCCGGGTCCTATCGGTTGTGACACAGACGAGCTCTGATCTCTGCAACAACAAATTATTGAATGAGACACAGCAGCAGAGTCCTGTCTATGACGTAGGATGCTCTGATTTGCAACATTCGTGCACATTGATTCATGGGCATTTCGACACAGAAAGCAGACGAAGCAACATCTATATTATTGAAGATTATCTTCCCTTTGTGCTTGATAAACGTCTAATTTATTGCTTGTGCCTCATTCAAGCTCTTTGTGAGCTCTTAAGAAGTATATCAAGCGTTAAATAGCTTTGGCAAAGGGACAAAGCAGATTAGCAATGTAAATCAGCTCACATTCTGTTGTCGAGGCGTCAAGCCGAGGCATGAAGGTTGAACGACTGTTATTTTATTCGTTAGTCCGGTGTAATTAGTTAATTAATACACGTGTGTGTATATATATACGCTGTTGATAAGAGATAATTGAAACTCGCGACTTTATCGAACTCTTTCTCTTGTTAAGTTCGTCTGCTCTCAGCTCAGTTGGGGACAGGTTGACTTTTTGGTTATTAGAACTGTGTATTATGTAGGTTAATATGTGGGTTAAGGGATGAGTTAAATATGTGCATTAAAGGGGTCGAGTTAATGTGTTAATAATCTTAATTAATCTGACGCACCGAATTATAAGGGAGTAATGAGAGGGGACTCGAACCAACGTCCTAGATGCTCAAGTCGCATCCTGTAATTACGGACTCTGGCTAGGCACGACCCGTCCTCAGGGCAGGCCCGACCCGTCCTGGGACGACCGCCGCTTTAGCGAGCCTAGCCTGAGTACAGGTTGAAATATAATTGCCAAAAGAACCTAAACAACCAACTCAACCTCATCTAGGACTAACTATACCCCATTTTCTAATGTATAACATAATGTATTTTTCCTTTAAATTTACAAACGAGGAAGGTGTCTGTGTGACGCAGCCAGGTGTGCGTGACGCAGCCAGGTGTGCGTGACGCAGCCAGGTGTGCGTGACGCAGCCATGTGTGCGTGACGCAGCCAGGTGTGCGTGACGCAGCCATGTGTGCGTGACGCAGCCAGGTGTGCGTGACGCAGCCAGGTGTGCGTGACGCAGCCATGTGTGCGTGACGCAGCCAGGTGTGCGTGACGCAGACAGGTGTGCGTGACGCAGACAGGTGAGCAGAAGGCTCTCAAGAGAGAGCATCAGTAGTAGTCACCAGCACATCGGCGTTCCCAGGGACGAGCGCTCAAGTGAACTCCTTCAAAGTCACACCCAAATCGACGGCTTTTAAAACTCTGCAAGTTGAACGCTTGGAGTGTCCAGACCCGAATTCTGTCATCCCGGGAATAAACGCTTTTCAGGTTTTCCTTATTTCCAAATTGTTGTGTCCGAGTGGCGTGGAAATACACGTTAAACATCTGTCATTATTGTCACATTGCTCGCGGTTATTTGTGTATGTTGTATACAGCTCTCAAGTTGTATATGAGATGTTTAACGTTGACAGGAAATTTTGGAGGATTGACACTTAAACTCGCTGTCTGGTTGGCTGGCTGGCTGGCTCGCTGGCTGGCTGGCTGTCTGGCTGGCTGGCTGGCTGGCTGGCTAGCTGGCTGGCTGGCTGGCTGGCTGGCTGGCTAGCTGGCTAGCTGGCTGGCTGGCTCGCTGGCTGGCTAGCTGGCTGAGTCTCTCCTTTCTCCTCTCCTCTCTCCATCTCCTTTTTTCAACCCTCTCCCTTATCTCTATTCCCAACTTTCTGGTCACTTCTTAACCTGGTCATTCCTCATCTGGTCACTCCCTCACCTGGTCACTCCTTCCCCTGGTCACTCTCTCACCTAGTCACCCCTTCACCTGGTCACCCCTTCACCTGGTCACTCCTACACCTGGTCACTCCTACACCTGGTCACCCCTTCACCTGGTCACCCCTTCACCTGGTCACTCCTACACCTGGTCACTCCTACACCTGGTCACCCCTTCACCTGGTCACCCCTTCACCTGGTCACTCCTACACCTGGTCACTCCTTACACTAGTCACGTGATCCAAATACATAACAAAAAGAGGCTGCCAATCTCAGTCAATCATGGTCTAAACAATACCAAATATTTGCCCTTACATACACACAAATATTAACAGAAGTATACAAATCACCCCGACCGAGGCTTGACGCCACTTCTGGTGTATTGTGTAGCTGTGATACCTGAGAAATAAACGAGCTAAACGAGACAAAAATCTCACACACACACACACTGCCTGAAGGTGACGAGACCACAAACACTAGATACACTAGATACTAGATAGTGTATCTAGATACACTAGATGCAATTATAATATATCCCCCAGGTAAATGTGGAAATATATTTTTCAGAGCTAACGAAGCGATGATTCGAAAAACAAACCATGTAACCCAAAAAAGAGGGATACAAAGAAAAATCAACGATGAACGAAGAGAAAATTCCCATTGACTTGATCCCCCCGCGGGAGCAAAGAAAATGAAACGACACAGAAAGATATGTTCACTATCTGATGAAAAATCAACAAAGAGACTCTGCTAACAGGGTTGCAACTCGCCGAGTGGTTGCGAGATGAAGAGCAGCATCCAGTTCTGGGAGTGACGATTGTGTTGATAAGAAGGATGATTGTTGAGGCGATGAAGAGTAAAGTGGTGACTCACACACACACACACTCATGGTAATATATATCAATATAAATAAGTAAATAAGTCCCCCCTATATATATATATATATATATATATATATATATATATATATATATATATATATATATATATGCAATTGACGATCACAAAACACTGATCATTTTATGCGGAAAATCCACAAGAAATATGAAATGAGGTGAACGTTTCGGCTTTTGCGGAAAATCCACAGAGAAATATGAAATGAGGTGAACGTTTCGGCTTGTTAAAGCCTTTGTCAACACCAGGAGTCTGGTGTTGACAAAGGCTTTAACAAGCCGAAACGTTCACCTCATTTCATATTTCTCTGTGGATTTTCCGCATATATATATATATATATATATATATATATATATATATATATATATATATATATATATATATATATATATATGTCGTACCTAGTAGCCAGAACTCACTTCTCAGCCTACTATTCAAGGCCCGATTTGCCTAATAAGCCAAGTTTTCCTGAATTAATATATTTACTATAATTTTTTCTTATGAAATGATAAAGCAATCCTTTTCTCTATGTATGAGGTCAATTTTTTTTTATTGGAGTTAAAATTAACGTAGATATATGACCGAACCTAACCAACCCTACCTAACCTAACCTAACCTATATTTATAGGTAAGGTTAGGTTAGGTAGCCAAAAAAGCTAGGTTAGGTTAGGTTAGGTAGACGAAAAAACATTAATTCATGAAAACTTGGCTTATTAGGCAAATCGGGCCTTGAATAGTAGGCTGAGAAGTGCGTTCTGGCTATTAGGTACGACATATATATATATATATATATATATATATATATATATGTATGTATCTCGGGGGGGGGGGGGAGACCTATATACTCTCTATATAGGTTTTACTCATATTTTTTTAAATGTAAAATATGATTACTATTAGTGTACTGTGTGGATTTGTGAGCCTCTTTGGGGTATAAGATATAGGCTGAGCTACTCTATCCTTCTGGGATGTATTTTATTATCTATAAACTAACTTGAACTTCAACTTGTTCATTCCTTTAACCACCTTTATTTATTGAAAATAAAACAGTATCAGAGAGCAGGGCTTGGTAGTAGCTATGGCCCATGTTTATAAGACCCGCCTGCACCATAAGGAGGAATTTCAAGATTGATAGCCAAATAATTACCATGGTCATCTAGGGGGGCTATAAAATAGCACTTTCAACAGGTCAACAGCAGCACATGTGACAGGTAGTTACGCTCAAGGATGTATTCCCGCGCTCGCATTTTATTGGTAGAAACTTTGTGTTGACATTCACCTCAACAGCCAATCACAAGGAAGGATCAGCAGTAAGCTCCGCCCCTCTTTTCTCTCTGTTATTGAAATCAGCAATCTTTCTTTGGTCTCTGTTTCATCTCAGACCTCCAGCATACGGCTCCCAGCAAACTTTTGGAGCATAAGAGATGTATGCTGCAGTGGGCCTATGACCCCATGCCAAACTTCACCTCAATCTCGCATCGAACCCACAATCTAACACGATCCCTCATGTCTACGAATCGAGTCTCCAAGACGCCAGGTGAACGGAACCCACCATATAGTTATCGTCAGTTCGTCACAATGTCCACTCAAATAACATTCGAACTGGAGCGTTGACATCCACCAAGGAGGCTTTCCCTCGATTGTTTCAAGCGCAGGTTGGACATGTATATGAGTGGGATTGGGTGGTTATAGATAGGAGCTGCCTCGTATGGGCCAATAAGCCTTCTGCAGTTGCCTTTGTTCTTATGTTCTTGTGTTTCAGACTTTAAGAAACTTATCAGAGCTTCTATCCAGTTTTACCCAACTCTCCGGAGCACCGCTTGAGAGAACTTTATTGGATTTTCTTACGTAATCATCATTGATTACATTGATTAATGATGATTAATCATTTAATCATCAATAAAATCACACAATGTCGTCAAACATATATTTATGTAAAATTAAGAACAACTTAACACCAAAAACAGAGTAAAAGTGAACACAAAGAAACATCAATATATGATCATGAAGAAGTAGTGAGAGGGACAGGTAGTTATCCTGTGATTGATTGATTGATGATTAAGCCAGGCAAGAGGTGGCACGGGCATGAATAGCCCGTAAGTGGTAGAATTTTTTGAAGTGAATGTGATCTTTGGTCGTGAAAGGATGTACTGTGTGCTGAGACCGCATTTAAACTGTGAGTTCTTACTGTGTGGTTGCTATTACGGGGGAGGATACTGCTTAACAGTATTTATGAGGGTGTCCAGCTGCTGGGGTTACCCCGTCCAGGGGACAGATATAGTCTTGTGTTCTCATTGGTTGAATGGGGGTACTGGGTGATTGGCTGGGGTACTGGGTGATTGGCTGGGGTGTTGGGAGGTTGGCTGGGGTACTGGGTGATTGGCTGGGGTACTGGGTAGTTGGTTGAGGTACTGGGTCGTCGGCTGGGGTGTTGGGTGGTTGACTAGGGTACTGGGTTGTTGGCTGAGGTGCTGGGTGGTCTATAAACAGCAGTTTTCTGTCAAACTCAACATGCACTTCACTCTTTTATATCCACAATAATTCCTCATTACACCTGCAGCTTGTTCAGCTATTCATCACTGAGGTATTCATCGCTTGCATTCATATACCAGCTGGCATATACGATCTTCCACTTTTCTCGTGCCAATAAATAAAATATTTTTCATATAAGCAATTATTTCATTACGTCTGCTCAGTGTACTTTCAAAATATTCTCTTCTACCAACTTCTAAAACACGTTTTCCCCGTTTTACATATTCTTGCGTCTATCTTTATCCATCAACTTTACCCATCCAACTTTATCCTTCAATTTTACCCATCCACTATTCTAACTGTTACATTTCAATACATCTTTCCCAATGAGCTTCCTTCTATTCTGAAGAAAAAAATCCTTGTCTCCTCATTCTTTTGTATTTTCTGCTTACTAGACTTGACTTTGTATCCCTAAAAACTACTTTCTTCTCTTATCTTCAAATTATATTGTGACTTTCACTAAGAAGTTCCTTTCATTGACCAGACCACACACTAGAAAGTGAAGGAACGACGACGTTTCGGTCCGTCCTGGACCATTCTTTAAGTCGATTGAGAATGGTCCAGGACAGACCGAAACGTCGTCGTCCCTTCACCTTCTAGTGTGTGGTCTGGTCAACTTACTTTAGCCACGTTATTGTGACTCATCGCCTGCAAGTTCCTTTCATCTTTCTACCAGTTTGTACAACTTCACACTCACTCACTTGTCATTCCTAACTAAACATTTCTTGTATATATCCCACCTGGTTCTAGGACTCGCCTTAACATAGTTCTGTTTTCGATGTTTTCCATCAACTGTTCTCCAGTACTCAACTCTCATTGTAATCACAATAATAATAATAATATTTTATTCATAAGAATGTGCGTACAAAGAACATAAGACAAGGTGCAATTGAAGGGGTAGGGAGCTCCTCCAAGAACCTTATGAGGACCTCATAGTGAATGAGGGACATCATTGAGGGACCTCATGAGGGAATGAGGGACCTATGAGGGACCTCATAGTGTTCCTCTAGTGAATGGAAAGATTCATATTACTTACCACCAAGACAGACCAATCTACAGATATTCTTAACACTGGTCTATTTCACACATATTTCAATACAATTCTATCAAAATGTATATAATTAGACTTTTTTTTGGGGGGGGGAATTTATTTTTATTTTATCAATACACTGCATATTTATGTTTATAAAATGTATTAAAAATGTATAATTATCTGAAGTTAAATAAATTTATCCATTTTACAACTTTTGTCAATATTTCCTGCCACAGTATTTTGCGTTTATACCAAAAGTATATAGAATAGAACTTCCAAAAGTATTTTTACCCGGTAACAACTTATTGGAGTCTTACCACAATCTCCCATTCGGAAGTTCACAGCTCAGTTAGCTCACATTTCACTGTAAACTCACATATCAGTGCAAATTCACAGCTTAACGGAACCTAGCAGCTATACATATAATCTCAAAGTACTCTTATAAGCTCACATATTAGTTTAAAATTCCCAGCACTTCTTAGACCCCTCATCTCAATATAAACTCTCAGCTCTCTATGAAAAATCACAGCTCGTTGTAAGCATACGAATGTAAGCTACCCAAACTCTCTGTAAGTCTGCAGCTCTATAGTAAGCTCCCGAGTCTCTGTAATCTCGCAGATCACTGTAAACTCTCAAGCCCCCTCAGGAAGCACAATGTGAACTCCCAACACCCTGGAAGTACAGTGTAAACTTTCAGTTCTCCGCCCTCGGGGGGGGGGGGGAATGGTCTTGGGGGTATCCACCAATGGTCTTTATTGCTGTTCTTTACCTTGCCCCGAGGACCATAGACGGTGTAGGAGTTCCATTTGTTTAATTCACCTGCTGTAAATTCAGTCTCAGTGTTAAAGAACAGTTTCACTCTGTTCTTAGGTGGATAGTATCGCCTTTGGTCTTAGATGGATAGTATATTCTGTGGTCTTAGATGAATAGTATCATTTGTGGTCTTCGATGGATAGTATATTGTGTGGTCTTCGATGGATAGTATATTCTGTGGTCTTCGATGAATAGTATCTTTTGTGGTCTTCGATGGATAGTATCTTTTGTGGTCTTCGATGGATAGTACCTTTTGTGGTCTTCGATGGATAGTATCTTTTGTGGGCTTCGATGGATAGTATCTTCTGTGTTCTTAGATGGATAGTATCGCCTTTGGTCTGAGATGGATTGTATAGTCTGTGGTCTTCGATGGATAGTATATTGTGTGGTCTTAGAAGGATAGTATCTTCAATGGTCTCGGATGAACAGTATCTTTTGTAGATATGGGAGCGAACTTTAGATAAACACACACGGATTTCATTTTCTGCTGAAAGGAGACGATTTCTGTCTTTGCTCTTGATACTAGGTAAGTGAGAAAATGCTTCCTCATATAAGAAAGAAGTTGAAAACTGCATTAATATATTTATTGTTCCTCCAGTGAATGGTAAGATAAGTATCTTTACCACTGAAACGTGATATTTTTCCTGAGATTCAGTCCACTTTTAAATCCATGAAGACCTTTTCAACTGATTCATGTGAAGAAACATGTGTTCTACATGGGTAAGCTTCTGCTCCTATTGTTTTCATTCGTGGAGCCCCCTAGTGATCGACCTCTCGTGGATCCTCTGGTGACCTCTCGTGGGGCCCCTGGTGACCTCTCGTGGAGCCTCTAGATCCTCTCGTGGACCCCTAATGTTGCAGGTAAAACTCTGATTGAAAACCACTGCTACAGTGGTAGACAGACCTTATAAATCTACCTTGAGGTTACCTTGAGGTGTTTCCGGGGCTTAGTGTCCCCGCGGCCCGGTCGTCGACCAGGCCTCCTGGTTGCTGGACTGATCAACCAGCATCAACCTAACCTAACACTGAACAACGTTATGAAAACCATACTCTATGAGGCAGATTGTTTCACAAACCAGTAATTGGTTTTACTACCTTGTGGTAATTTAACCGGATAATTAGCCTTGGCATTGAAATTGTATAGAGAGAGTATTGTGCCGCTATTAATCCTAATTATGCCATTTACCTGTCTGGATAAATGGAACTCTACACTGTGTAATACCCAAGTTTCGAATGTAAACATTGTTTTTTTTATGGGGGTGAGGGAACTGGATAATAATTTGTATTTCATTGATGAAATATGATTCATTGATGTACATGATCACTGTTGTTGTGTCTTTAAACGTCAGAAAATGCAATATATATGTAGTACAGATTTCTCAATAATTCCCGTCCAAGCTGTTCTCTGGCTGTGTTCCTCTTGCTTTGATCGACCGCAAAGACTCATTCATCAATTTTGGCATACTCGAAACCTCTTAAATTTCAATTCCTTATATATATTAGAATTTCATAAAAAGGTTGGTGAGGGTTAGGTTATGCTGGGTATATAGGTTCTGTTAGCAGTTATTTTCATATCTAGTATGCAGGTGAAGCCTTAAGAGAAAGATGGGATTCGAACAGAGGACGAGAGTGAAACATTGTTCGAAAAAAGTTCGAACGTTCTCAGTTGTGAATCCTGTGTAAATGGTTTACATTCATAAGCAGGTAGTTTGGCTGCAGGAATAACGAGGACATTGTGAATTAAGACAGCAAACAGCAAACAGCTGCTTGCTGTTTGTAAAGCGTCTATGAAGTACTCGCCGAGCACTCGTTAAGCACCCTCGAAGCATCCTACTGAGCACCGGCGAAGCATCGCACGTCTCAAAAGAAATACAAGTTCGATCAAAGGACGAGATTGAGTAATCCTTTAAAATCTTACACATTTCTTTTATCCAGCTGATGGGGTAATGGTTGGAGGGGGGGAGGGATGTTGTGGGGTGAGGGGGGAGGGGGGACTGGTGGTGGGTGGGAGATTTGGTGGAGATGGGAAGGGATTGAATTTTTCCACCACAGACGTGGCCACACATTTACATTGCTAACCAGCATATATATATATATATATATATATATATATATATATATATATATATATATATATATATATATATATATATATATACAGTGTCTTCTGTTCTCCATAAATGTTCAGTGATTTATTGAACAATCAATCACAGAAGATGATTGTAGTGCAATTCAAATGCTAATCTAACCTGCATACTTAAAGACATAGATTTATGTCTGCCCTAAATAAACAGGGTTCAATATTTTGTTTTGTTTTACGTAATGTCATTAATCTACGTTTACAAAGTAGAAATGCAATTCATACCAGCTTATGTATACTCTCTATACACACAGACTGGTGGTAGTATACTGATAGGTGGGGGGTGGACAGGTGGTGGTTGGAGACTAGTATAGTGGTATAAGGGACTGGTGTAGTGGTAGAAGGGACTGGTGTAGTGGTAGAAGGGACTGGTGAAGTAGTAGAGGTTACTGGTAGTGGTAGTTGCATCAGAACCTGAACTACCCAGCCTGTGTCTCCCTCAGTCAAAGCTTCCACACAACAATAACAATAATAATTAATAATTACCAATTAATAATTAATAACTATTCACTAACAATAATAGACATAATTTCTTACTAGATTATACAACAAAATAATGAAAGTGTCCCTTGTGAAATAAAAAGACACAATGGACATCATTCCCCAGCAGTTGACACAATTATCTCAACATATCCATCCATCATTTCTGTGGGAAAATTATGAGTTTCTCTGTATGCAAATTACCCATAAACAAGCAACCTATCTTCAAGGATTATTACAAGCAACAGCCTCAGTTATTACAAGCCTGCTAATATGACCTGCAGTTGTCTCTATAACAAGCTATTCATCCACTTAGGTCACTCCACTACGGGCTCACCATGGCCCGTGCTACTTGGATCTTTTAGTTCCAGGTAGCGAATCTTTAACTTAGTTCACTGCAGTTTGACTGCTTTTGCTCACAAAGTGATATTTATTATTTTGTGTAATTTTTTTTTATATATAATTTTTCATAACCTATATTTATGTTCTTTTTTCTTGCACACTTACGAACGTGTTTGTATAAATTAACACATCCACAAGGGCCGTGACGAGGATTCGAACTAATCCTGTGTATTGAAGGGCGAAAAGGGAGAATGGCCTATTGACATAGCTCGAGTGCATGGGGGAGTTGTGCATGGGGGAGTTGTGCATGGAGGAGTTGTCCATGGAGGAGTTGTGCATGGAGGAGTTGTGCATGGTGGAGTTGTGCATAGAGGAGTTGTGCATGGAGGAGTTGTGCATGGAGGAGTTGTGCATGGAGGAGTTGTGCATGGTGGAGTTGTGCATGGGGGAGTTGTGCATGGAGGAGTTGTGCATGGAGGAGTTGTCCATGGAGGAGTTGTGCATGGAGGAGTTGTGCATGGAGGAGTTGTGCATGGAGGAGTTGTCCATGGAGGAGTTGTGCATGGAGGAGTTGTGCATGGTGGAGTTGTGCATGGGGGAGTTGTGCATGGAGGAGTTGTGCATGGAGGAGTTGTGCATGGTGGAGTTGTGCATGGAGGAGTTGTGCATGGTGGAGTTGTGCATGGAGGAGTTGTGCATGGAGGAGTTGTGCATGGAGGAGTTGTGCATGGAGGAGTTGTGCATGGAGGAGTTGTGCATGGAGGAGTTGTGCATGGAGGAGTTGTGCATGGAGGAGTTGTGCATGGTGGAGTTGTGCATGGAGGAGTTGTGCATGGAGGAGTTGTCCATGGAGGAGTTGTGCATGGGGGAGTTGTGCATGGAGGAGTTGTGCATGGAGGAGTTGTGCATGGAGGAGTTGTGCATGGAGGAGTTGTGCATGGAGGAGTTGTGCATGGAGGAGTTGTGCATGGGGGAGTTGTGCATGGGGGAGTTGTGCATGGAGGAGTTGTGCATGGAGGAGTTGTGCATGGGGGAGTTGTGCGTGGGGGAGTTGTGCGTGGGGGATGGTTTGAATTAGGACAAAATCTGGGTTGGTGTCACCCAACGAACCCACAACCTTATTGCAACGTTGTGAGTAAGGAACATGGATATCAACGATCAACGAGTCATGATGCAAATATCATAATATTGCAGAACAATGATGCAATATTGATTTTTACCATCTTGGAGAAGTTAGTGGTCACGCGAGACTCACCAAAATTGGGTCGAGGTTTGGGGTTGACAGCTTTCACTCAGGGTAATATTCACGTCAGGTATGAAGCTGACAGCTTCAATTCATAGTAATATTCAAGCCAGGATGGGAGTTTTCAGATTCCCATCCACTGTAATATCTTGGTGGGAAGTTTAACAGTTTTCACATTTACAGACACAATCGACTTGAAAATGGTCCAGGACGGATCGAAACGTCGTCGTCCCTTCACTTTCTAGTGCGTGGTTTTGGTCAACTTACAGTTATCACTCGTGGTAACTTACAGACTCCACCTATGGCAACCCAAGTGCCAGGTGTGGAATTTGTAGCCTTCATCCACGATAACACACATGCTAAATTGAATTGCAAATCACTGTATTCGATGCAAATCCCTTCCAAACAAATATTTGAAAATCTGGCCAAAAATTTGAAAGAATTATCAATATTGTTTTAAAACAATATGTCATATATATATCCTCGTTATCACATGGGGTAGAATACTGTAAAAATAATGCAAGAAATACAAAATAAAATGGCACCATTTTAAAATAATACTGTCATTTTTGTCTCTGTAATATTATTCAAAGTATTTTATAATCCCTATCAGAGAGCATAGTAAATCGTGCAACTCTCAACCTTGTGTAAAACTAATGGAGTATAATTGGAATTTGCTCGTTATATTACTGCCTGTTGATCCCACTAATCTGGCCACCGCGACTCAGGTAAATTAAACCCTAATTGTTGCAACATGCAAATGCTCGCTCAAATCCAGGATGAAAATCGCCATTGTGTTGGGAATCTCACCACTGACACCTGCGTTGTAAATCACACTAGCGACCGCTACACTACTCCCATAATGCCTCGAGTCTTATGCTAAGATTAAACTATCCTTGTATTGCCGAATGTGTGTGTGTGTGTGTGTGTGTGTGTGTGTGTGTACTCACCCACCTAATTGTACTCACCTAATTGTATCTACTTACCTAATTGTACTTGCGGGGGATGAGCTCTGGCTCTTTGGTCCCATCTCTCAACCGTCAATCAGCTGGTGTACAGGTTCCTGAGCCTATTGGGCTCAATCATATCTACACTTGAAGCAGTGTATGGAGTCAGCCTCCACCACATCACTTCCTAATGCATTCCATTTGTCTACTACTCTGACACTGAAAAAATTCTTTCTAACGTCTCTATGGCTCATTTGGGCACTCAATTTCCACCTGTGCCCCCTAGTGCGTGTGCCCCTTGTGTTAAAAAGTCTGTCTTTATCTACCTTATCAATTCCTCTGTGAGTCTTGTATGTGGTGATCATATCCCCTCTAACTCTTCTGTCTCCCAGTGACGTGAGGTTTAATTCCCGTAGTCTCTCCTCGTAGCTCATACCACTCAGTTCTGGTACTAGTCTGGTGGCAAACCTTTGAACCTTTTCCAGTTTAGTCTTATGCTTGACTAGATATGGACTCCATGCTGGAGCCGCACACTCCATGTATGCGTATGTGTGTTCGCTCGTGTGTGTTTTTTCTACTTTTTGTTACTCTGACACAACGGTGTAATTAGGTATTAACTTTAAAAACAGCTTTGAATACGTTGTTACATAACACAAACAGTGACTCACCAAACACACACTGTAACCAGAAATTGTTTTGATGATGTTACTTAGACGCAATGTTACATTTAGGTGTTAACGTTAAAGAAACGTTGTGATTACTTTGCAGGTGTGACGGAACCTGCCGTGGCTTGTCAACTAAAGTGCCTTCGAGTTTAAAGACAATGCAAACTACGATTGTGTTAATTAACTCGTTTGTAAATACCTGGGCAAAATCTGACTCAAAACTGATGATTATGTGAGAGCATAAACATGTGAGTTGAATATTATGTGAGTTGAAACAAATAATAATTATTGACTCATCTCAGATTACTTTCAAGGCAAATATGTTAAGAGTATGTGATTTGTAAATATAATATTTTGTTTATAGTGATAATCCTTTATGATGATTCATTGTACTGTAGTCCTCCTTGCGTTGAGGTAAGGTCTACAATGCTGTATTATGAACGTATACTCTCCTTGCAGCTTGCTCTCTTCATTTACAACTCCGTAAAAAATTCATCCTTCTATCTTACCCAGAAACATACAACATACCCACCTAACATATCCAGTCCAATGCACGGAAAATGTAGATATTTTTGAGCCGTTGCATTCTATGGTAGGTTGCATTTGCACCATTGGTTACCATCTTGAGGTTATCTTGAGATAATTTCGGGGCTTTAGTGTCCCCGCGGCCCGGTCCTCGACCAGGCCTCCACCCCCAGGAAGCAGCCCGTGACAGCTGACTAACACCCAGGTACCTATTTTACTGCATTAGCAGGCAATTACAGACAAGAACTCGGTAACAAAAGAGGTTTGAGTATCTGACGTATATGAAGAGAAACTCTAATTGAATCTTGTGAGTTCGCGATATATGTAATTACATTTTCATCGGTAATTGAATTCATAGACCTGAGGGTAATCTTGAATTCAAATGAACGAGAAATTGGAGGATTAGAATACAAGATTATTTGCAAAAATAAGATACTATCAAGTGGTTCAACTTGCATGTCTTTCCAGGGTATTGAAGTTACTCTTTATGCAACGTCTCTAGGGCATTATACAATCATTTGTTTGTAAACAATCATTTGTTTGTAAACAATCATTTTGTTTGTAAACAATCATTTTGTTTGTAAAGAATCATTTGTTTGTAAACAATCATTTGTTTGTAAACAATCATTTGTTTGTAAACAATCATTTTGTTTGTAAACAATCATTTGTTTGTAAACAATCATTTGTTTGTAAACAATCATCTGTTTGTAAACAATCATTTGTTTGTAAACAATCATTTGTAAACAATCATTTGTTTGTAAACAATCATTTGTAAACAATCATTTGTTTGTAAACAATCATCTGTTTGTAAACAATCATTTGTTTGTAAACAATCATTTGTTTGTAAACAATCTTTTGTTTGTAAATAATCATTTAATTGTAAAAATCATGTGTTTCTGATATTTCTTATGAACTTAATACAGTATTTATCTAAGCTGTATTTGTTATTGGCTGCGTTGGCAGCATATTTGATCAGCTCGAGTGTGATATATCCAAATGTTTGGTTAGTTCTAGATTAACAAGGGAATGCTAAAGAAAATTATATTTTAATTTCATTTTAGGTGATGGAAAACTTTATACTTACTTGACAAGATTAGGGTCGTGGAATAATATTTAATTAAAATTTATTGTTGAATTAAGGTTAATAATATCTACAGTTTTTTTTTAATTCAGATTGAATATTTTCTTTTGTTTCTAAACTTGGAGATAATTTAAATAGTTTCTGAAGTTATTAAAAGTTATATATGAGATAAGTTTTATGAGCTCTATATAGGTGATTCCAAGCCAGGTTGAATGTATATTCTTCCTAAGATCCATAAACAAAGTTTCCCAATAAGATCAATAATTTATTCTATTGGCAATTTTAATTATATATTTGGCAAAATGTTTGGAGACATTTTACTAAAAATAAAAATAATATAGAAAAGTCAATACACTTCCGTTTATAAATCGGTTCCTTGAAACAAAACAAGTACTGTTGTTTTGGGCAACGTGCTTGTTGAATCACTATTAATAAATGTCCCATTAAAAAAGCACAGTTGTATTAAATAATCTAACTCAAGAAAATTCTTGTAATTTTGATTTGAATAAGCTTCCTTAACTGTTAAAAAAAACTGCAACTTTATATTGCTGCCTTATCTATCTATCTATCTATTCGTAGATAGATAGGGTAGCAATGGGTTCAGATCTTGACCCATTATATGGTAACTTATTCCTTAGTAATGGTGAGAAACATTTGATAGCTATTTGTCCCTCTGAATTCAAGCCAATTTAGAATCGTCAATATGTCAACGATTCTTTTATCATTTGTATTGACCACTTACATGTGAACGTGTTTGATAATTATTTGAATTCTATACATTTTAACTTAACAATTTAGACTAATTCCAAAATAGCATTTCTTGACTCATATTTAGTAATATTAGGAATATTACGGGATTAGGGGGTTACATTACATATGCTTGTTTGCTATTTAATGGATATTTTGTGTGTATTTCAGTATATTTAGAGTTTTTGAGTGCATATGCGTGCATTTTTACTAATCTTCTGTGTACTTTGAATATTTCTCAATATATACGAGTCAGGAGTACGTTTCTAGTGTTTTTTTGTGTTTTGTTATATTTATAATTTTTTGGCAGTATTTTCCGTGTTTTGGGCTTATTTTCAGAGATTTGAATGTTTTTAAGTCTATTTTGAGTGTTTTTAGACTGATAGTCGTTGAAAGTCTCGTTCTAACCATATATTCCAACTTTGATAATGCACTTAGGAAAGTGCGAAAGACTTGGCGTTGTTCAAATTTGTGTTTAAAATATACAAAAACCCACATATAAGTGTGGGGAATTTTTTATACAATGTTATTGCACTACTAGGTGTGTACTCACCTAGTTGTACTTACGGGGACTGAGCTTCGGCTCTTTGGTTCCGCCTCTCAGCTGTCAATCAACTGGTGTATAGATTCCTGAGTGTATTGGGCTCTTATCATATCTTCATATGAAACTGTGTGGGGATTCTGCCTTCACCACATCACTGCCTTATGCATTTTTCCTTTTTAACTACTCTGACACGGAAAAAAGTCTTGCTAATGTCTCTGTGGGCTCATTTGGGTACTCAATTTCCACCTGTTTCACCTTGTTCGTGTTCAACCCATGC